GTACATTAAAAAAAAAAAAAAAGATGGTAAAAAAGAATAGTTTCCTAAGTAGTCACACAGACATTTGTTTTCCAAAATAGATCAACCTAATTTAGAATAATCTTTTCTTCAGAAACGTTTGAATCATCAAACTTAGATAACTGTAAATCTGAAGTTATAGCTGTTGAGACTAGGACATTAACCCACACTGAGTAATTATTAATAAAAGTTAATATCAACAAGTATCGACAGGCAATTTGACTCCATCCCCGACTCCTACTTTCCCTAACCGCCAAGCCCGGGGTGGGGGAGTGGGGGTGGCACAAGCTCTTGGAAAAGACAGGCATACCTCTCTCTAAGCACCCGCTGCGGAGAAGCGGGAACCCCTCAGTCCGTAGAGACGCGTGGCCCCGCCCCCGCAGCGTCACGCCGACCCGACGGCCGCCGCGTCTCTATGGAAACAAGCCCTGCGTCCACGCAGCAGAGAGGACGATGGCTGCTGGGGAGCTCAGGGACTTGGGCGCCTACTACTTCAGGTTTCTGCCTCAGAAAACCTTCCAGTCTCTGAGCTCTCAGGAGATCACCAGCCGGCTCCGCCAGTGGTGAGGATTCGAGGCGCAGGAAGAGAAGAGCCCCTTCGTCTTCGCGGTTGTGGAGACGCGGGCCAGGCGTCGAGCGGGCCCGCGCGGGTCGGCGCCATTCTGAGTGGAGCCGGAGGCTTCCTGAGTGAACCCTGAGCCACGGGGCGGGGCGGATGCTGCGGGTGGGATTGGTTAATGGTGCGCTCTAAGTGGGCGCCAGCCTCCAGATGACTTCTCTTTCCTCCTCTGCCCCAGGTCCATGCTGGGCAGAATCAAGGCGCAGGCGTTCGGCTTTGACCAGACATTTCAGGCCTATCGGAAGGATGATTTCGTTATGGTTAGTATGGGGGTCGGAGAGAGTTCCTTGGGCCTCTGCCGATTTTTAAACTCCCCCCCGCCCCACATTGGCATGGATTCTTGTGAACATGGCATTCCTTCGTGACGTCGCTTTCTTGGCGTTTGGGAGTAATAAAAGGTGCAAATGATTTTTTAAAGAAACTTACATTTTGAATCACCCATTGTAAATTTGTTTTTTATTTTATTCATTCTTTCTCTCCTTTCAGTGTCTTGTATCTTGCCTCAGAGAACTTTGCAGTTCTTGAAAATCGCACTCTCTCGAGATTAGTTTCTCTCTTTTTTATTTTTGTTTTGTATTTTATTTTATTTTATATTTTTTGAAACAGGGTCTTTCTCTGTCACCCAGATTGAGTGAGTGAAGTGCAGTGGCACCATCTCAGCTCACTGCAGCCTCGACCTCCTGGGCCCAAGCGATCTTCCCACCTCAGCTTCCTGAGTACAGGGGACTACAGGTGCAGGCCACCACGCCCAGCTAATTAAAAAAAAAATTTTTTTTCAAGGTGGGGTCTCACAGTGTTGCCCAGGCTAGTCTTGAATCTCTGGGCTCAAGCAATTCGCTCACCTCGGCATCCCGAACTGCCGAGATTACAGATGTGAGCCACCACCCTAGCCTCTCTTTTTAAATAGGCACACCTCATTTTAAAATATTTTTATATATTATCACACAGCTTTATCACTATTTACTAGCTCCAAATTACTTTTGTTTTTTTTCTCAAAGTCACACACACTCTGAGAACTGGGCTTCATGCTCTACCAGCAATTCCAAATGAGGAAATCCCCCCAAAAAGTTTTAAGCAGTAGCACAGTGGCTTGAATAAGCAGTCTTTTGACTGCTAGAGATGATCTTTTTTTCTTGAGACAGAGCCTTGCTTTGTTTCCTGGGGTAGAGTTCAGTTGCACTATCTCGGCTCACTGCAACCTGCGCCTCCTGGGTTCAAGTGATTCTCCTTCCTTAGCCTCCTGAGTAGCTGGGACTACAGGCTTGCACCACCATGCCCAGCTGATTTTTATATTTTTAGTACAGACGGAGTTTCACCACGTTGGTCAGGCTGGTCTTGAACTCCTGACCTCGTGATCGGCCCACCTCAGCCTCCCAAAGTGCTGGGATTACAGGTGTGAGCCACCACGCCCGGCTGAGGTGACTGCTTTGAGAGAGGTAAAACTCACTTGAAAGTTTAAGTTTTGGTGTGTTTGTTAAAATTTAGTTCATTATTTTCAATCCTTTTTTTTTTTTTATTCTCAGTCAAATGGAAAATACTGTGGTTTGTGAAATTATCTTCATTCTCTGCCATTCATGTCCTTCATGCATTGACTATAGTTTGTAGTTTGGCAGAACAAACACTTCCTGAAGGCCTATCATGTACTAGGAATTCCTTCCAGTGCTGGGGATACAGGAGGAACAAGACAAGAGCTCAGCTTTCAAAGATTGTACAGGCCTTGGCAAGATTGCAGTAAATGGGAAAAAAAAATCTGATTATTTCATATAATGATAAGGGCAGTAAGAAAAATAAGAGGGAATGAGAAAGGACAACATGAGGTAGAATTGTGTCATAGTTCTGGAGGCGAGAAGTCTTAAATCAAGGTGTTGGCAGGGCCATCGTTCCTGTGAAACCTGTAGGGGAGAATCCATCCTTGCCTCTTCCGGGCTTCTGGCAGTTGCCAGCCACCTTTGGCATCCTTTGGCTTGCAGCTGGGGCACTTTCTTCTCTACCTGTCAGTCCCATAGCCTTTTCCCTTCATGTGTCTGCATCTCTTTTCTTCTTATAGAGAGACATCAGTCATATTGAATTAAGGGTCCAGCATAACCTAGTCTTAATTACATCAGCAACAACCCTAATTCCAACTAAGATCACTTTCTGACATTTCAGGAAGGATGTAAATTTTGGGGGGACACAACCCATAACAGAGAGTAAATTGGTTAAATGTCTATCTCCCTTTCTCTAAGATAGTGTTATGGTGCCATTATATTATAATGCTACTGATAATGACATGAATAACATTTCTCAAATATTCATGGTTAGATTATTATGTAGTTTTTTATATTTTTCATTTATACCAGTACTGTCTCTCTCTCTCTCTCTCTCTCTGTCTCTTTCTCTCT